TTTTCTTTAAATCCCCTTAGATTTCCATAGATCTAGGAAAACCGAAGCTTTTACCTCGGTTAAAACAACGTCTCCAGCGACGATTGGGCTCTCCTCGGTGGTAAGTCCCTCTTTCTTGCTCTATTTTCTCTTGGATTTTAGTCTTTGTTGTTGTTGTGTGGTTGTGCTTGCCCGTTTCTGGTTCCTTCCCTGTTGGTCTCTGTTGCCTCTGTTCTTGCTTACTGTTTTGGTTATTTCTCCTCAGATTCTTCCTCTCTGTTTTTTTTTCAGGTTTGGTGGTGGCTTTTTATAGCCACCATAGTGCTCGGATCGTACCAGTCCAAAGGGGGAAGTTTCGGTGAGTCACCATAGCTATGGTGGTGACTTACCATAGGGCTTCGACGTGGGGCGGTGATGCGGCGCTACTAGAGACTTCGGCGAGGGTTGGGCGTAGCAGTAGTATTGGACCACATGGCAGTGGAATCAGCAGCCACCTGGTGCATCAAAGGCGGTTAGGATGGTCTGGGAGGTAACAGTGGGGCTAGGGTTGAGATGATACAAACCCTAAATAATTTAGGGTTTCCTTTAAGCTACTGGTTCTGGGCCGGTCTGTAATATTGTGGGCCTGTAATAATAATTTAATAAGTAATAAAATAATAAGAATAAAAAATAATAAATGGATAAAAATTAGTATCTTCAACAAATTAAGGCAAAATGTTTTTAGACTTGAATTGAATTTGTTCAAAGTTTTCAAAAGTTTTCAAAAATAATTCAAAGTCCATTAAAAGTGAATTTGAGCACATAAAACTGATTTTTACGTACGAAGTACCGATACTGTTCTTACAACATCAAAATTATATGAACAATACCGATATTGTTCATGTGGTACCAATACCCTAGGTAAGAGAAGTATCGATACTCTCAAAGTGGTACCGATACTATCAGCTTGCTCAAATTTCTGAATGTAAAATAGGTACCGATATCCAAAGGGGTACAGATACTACTTTACATAGTACTATCGATTCCAAGGTCACAGTATCGATACCATCAGGCCCAACAACTAGTATCGATACTCCCTGTAGGAGTATCGATACCCTCTGTTCTGAGTTGCTTTATTTTGTAAAGAAATCATCCCCAAACAGCTAGAAATCATACTCAATAGCTAGAAATGGCCCCAACCTCATTCCAACTTATAAATACAAGTTCAAGACACTTGAAGAAGGGTTAGAACACTTATCCTAACATTGAAACACAAGAGAAGAGCTTCTCACTCTATATTTCTATTCTCTTGTACATATTAGTGTTTTTGTGAGCTTTAATTTGTAAACACCTTCCTTTTTAGAGGTTTCTTTTTTTACATCTTTTTCCTTCTGTAAATGGGTTTTGGTTCTAGCTAAGCCTTTATAAAGCTAGGGAGTTTGTAAAGGTTACTCTTGATCATTGAAAAAGAAAGAACAAATTAGTGGATTTGTTGGAAAATCCTAAGTGTTGAGCTTAGGTAGTGGATGTAAACTTTGGTTGAGAAAGTCGAGCCACTATAAATCCTTGTGCAACAATTTTCTATCCTTTTAATTTTCCTTACTCTCTAAAATTCTCAAAAAGTCAATTCACCCTTCTTGGCAAACTTTTTTGGTTGTCATTTGAGCTACAACAATCCTAATAGATATGCATATATATTGACGGAACTTCATGGCCTTTAATATATATATATATAAAGAAAAATTTACTATGTCCTCTAAATTAAAAAAAATGTATTTATGGAAAATATATAAAAAAATATTTTAACCCCACTATAATAAATTCCTAATTCTGCCCATGTGCCTACATATTTTATGTATATATTATTTATAATATATATAAATTAGAAATATTTTTAATTTTTTTAATAATTTATAAGTTATCATGTTATAACCTATGATACATATTCAAAATCTTTTAATTTTTTTATAATAGTTTTAGTATTTTTAATATGTATATTCAATTTTTATTTTTATTATTTTTATATTTAAATTTTTTTGAATATTTTTATAACTTTATATTTAAAATTACTTTTATTTTATAAAAAAATAAATAAGTCCTTGAACTAAAAAAAAATTAACTTGACCTTCCAAAAAAACCAAAAACCTAATTTAGCCAATCTGCTATGTCATCAGCCATAGAAGACTGCCACGTTAGTACCATGGACCCATCACCTCATCAGTCACAGTAGACTATCACGTCAGCACTGTAACGATCAACGACGAAAAACGTTGGTTAAAGGGCTACTTTGAGTTTATTTTCTAAGTTGGAGGGTCATACTGAGAGAAAAAATAATATGAGGGTCATATTGATTTTTTTAGAAGTTCAGGGCCTTTGATGCCTTTTTGCCTAAATTAATATATTTTTATAATTAGATTTATATAAAAAAATTAATTAAAATTCAAGATGTGCTTATTTAAATTAAAAAAATCTCGATCCAAATCCAATTCGATTATGGAGAAATGTAAATGGAAGTATTTTGGTGAATCGAATCTGATCTGCTTGAAGTAACAAATTAAGAAACGTTTTAAATGGTCAGAAAGAAAGAAAGTAAATTAGTGGATTTTTGTACATAATAAGTTAAACATGCATATCCCATGTTTACATAATCGATAAGCATAAAAGTAATCAAACGTCATTCGATTCGACGCTGAAACTAATTGGTTGTGGGGTTCCCACCTACTCACATTCTATCCCTCCCTATAAATTGATCCCCTTCTCCTCAAAACCCAAGCAAAAGAAAGAAAGAAAAATGTCTAAGCTTTGCACCCTCTTCGTTGCTGCCCTTGTTTTCAACTTTATGCTATGTTATGCTTCTCGCCCACACCCCACTCTTCCCTTAATCCAACATCAGGTATGTATTGTCTCTCTTCTCCTCTTCTTCTCTTCTCTTACTATATCAATATTGGATTTTGGTTGATGCAGGCAGACAAAGTGGATGTTGATGACAACTGTGAAGAGGAAGGGTGCTTGATCAAAAGAACCCTTGCTGCTCATGTCGATTATATTTACACTCAGAGTCACAACCCATGAACTTGTAATTCTTATTTGTATCCGTCATAAAGTATTGGATCAAAGCCCTTATTAAATAAATAAAATCATAATTTTCTCTCTTCATGTTGGATGGCATAGCTATTGAGAACAATGTTTTTGCACCTGCCTAGATTGTTTTTGAATTAATTATTGGTATCTGATCTATTGATCGATCAATCCAAATTGGATACTACAGAGGCAAGGACAACCCTCTCAATCCAATTTGCTCTATTCACAAACGTCAGGATTTGAACTCCTAACCTTGCTCAAGGGATCTAGTACCTCATCCCTCTAGACCAACTGTTGTTGGTAGATTTTTAATCTTCAATAGATTTTCCCTTTGTATTTCAAGAGATGCATGATTTGCCCATAACTTTGTTTTGCTTTTTGAAAAATCCCTAAATGGGAAAAAGAAGATTCCACACAAAAATCTATCATCTTTTTTTTATATATATATAATACTCATCTTTAAATGATGATGAAGAGGAATAATCGGTTACTCGACATTGGGGTAAAAAAGTCACTAAAAGGCAACGGAATTTTCTCTCAATGTCTTATTAGAGGCAATTCACACATGTAATGTACAGGGAATGTCTTATGGTTTTATGTTGGGAGAGATTTTTTTAAAAGTTTAAAATAGAGTAAACTTGTAATATTATAGGGGATGAAAAACGGATTATCAATAAAAAATTATAAAGAAAATTTAAAATATATGATAATTTAAAATTTTTAGGAGAACGACTACTTCCATCCATCCCACCTGGTCAATCCTCGGTAACGTACGAATTTTCTAGCAAGTGCCAACAAACCAGATCATTGGCAACATGCAGGCTGAGGGTCAAACATGGCTACGACAATTCAACACCCTTTACAGGTGTTCCAGAGGAGTATGCTGTTGTTAAAGTCAACCAGTCGTTTTCCGGAGTAAACTGAAAATAGAAACACATTACAGACGATTTAATAATGTTGTGAATGCATATTTAACAACCAATACATCCTCCGTTAGTTTATCAGAACTTGGTTCTTACAGGTTACAATTTTTAATTGAATTTATTATTATATAGGAAGATACTTTCAACCAAGTCAATTGTTAAATGCATATTTAACAACCAAGTCGATAGTGGAAGAATTAGCTTTGTCTTTCCAGGAAGGCAAAGTTTCAATATAAAGATGATGGTGTTGGTGGACCTACAAAGGGTGGCTCAGTCAATGAATGTCGGGCAGGGTTGCACTTGCAAATGCAACCAGTAAATTTCCTAGTAGGAGCCACCCACTATCCGGACAGCATAATCCAAGCACGCTAATCATTCCCCGAATCAGCAAAATGGATGATTGTCACAATCTCAATTCCCAGATTAACCTTAACTGACCCTAGTTATAATAATATTAACAATACAAGCAAAAAATAAGTTTTTCCGGAATTATTTGAAATCTATGAAAGCAGAGTTTAGATAAGAATGAAATACTGAGTTGAAAATCAAAGAAAAAATGCTACTTTTTCCTTTTGGTACAAAACAGACTGTAAGCAAAGGATAAGGAAAGTGAAAGTAAATGTAAATGCTGAGATTCTATAAGATGTTATGCATAAACCCCTTCCGGTTCATTAAGGTTGATCAATCGCGCATATCTTATAGATAATTGATCATCATAGATAATCGATCATCATAGATAATCCATCCATTCATTGTGTAGAACCATATTGCATAATCAGTTAAACTTTACCTGGCAAGAATTGATGCTCATAGCCATAGGGAATAATATCTTTGAAAGGCTCTGACCCGAACTGACTGCAATAGTACAGTAATAAGTATTTGAATAATTGTGGTATAAACATACAGCTGGAGATTATTGGGTATACATTTGAATAATTCAATAAATTCCGAGGAAACTCGGTACTTCCTAAAGCTAAAAGCAGTTATGTATATGAACTGGACTACCTTAGTTTTTTGCAGGAGACATACACACAAGGCTTCTGACATAAGCAACATTATTAAGATTTCATTGTATTTCCCATGAGAAGAGGGAACAAACCTATTCAAGCCTGCAAGAGAACCCCGCTACCACCCACTATATGTAAGTAAAGCATGAGGCAAATGGTGACAATAATGGAAGACTTTGCACTTATGTATCTGATAATATCGATTCCTCTTTCAATGACCCCGTCACGAGCGACATGAATGCTTCTTTTCGAACATTCTAGAAGCTTCCATACCAGAAACTCCATCATGGTCTTTATTGTTCCAAAGGTCACCCTCCCGGTCACATCAAGCACAAACTTCCTATTGCTGGGAACGGCCAATGTTGATGAGACCTTATCAACCCACCCATCATTCTTAATTCCATGGAACGAGCTCCCATGTTCCACTCCATTTAAAGATGCTTCCTTCTTAGCACAACCATCTCTTAGTCCACTGGCATCCTCGCTCTGGCCTTCAATGGAACAAGTATCCGATTTCGAACTCGTCCACACTTGATGAGATGTTCTCACCAGCGTTGCCACAGCACTATTACAAACAGAAACCAAAATGTCTCTCACATCGTTTTGATGGTTCGGATTGGTCATCCCCATAAACATTTCATCGTAAGTATTAATATCCATCGTCTTGTCAAGATAAACTGCAATAGCAGTGCTTACAAATCTTTGTATGCAATCGGCCATTAGCTCTTTGCACTTATCATTATAAAGCATATTAACCCATCTGGGCAAATTAGACGACCCACCATTTCCACTAGACTCGTTAATTTCTTCACCATTCGAGTAAAACCCCATAACCAGATTCTTAGCAAAGCTACCAACCACAACAGATACAAAGCCAGTCCCAGCATTAGAAAAAATACTGTCCAATACCCTATCAGTCAAGCTAGAATTCCCCGTACCCGATGCCAATTCACTCTTGTTTGCTGATTCAAACTTGTACCCTCTTAAAACTCCAACTGTTAAAGCCTCATTGACCCTAATAAAAGTTTTGGAAAATTCATCTGATCTCACAATCTTCGAAATCTGCTTCAAGCTGTTAGGTATTTGATCAGATTCCGACTGCAAAAATTCCCTCAAGTCCTTAGAGACAACATTGAGCGCCTCCGAGGATTCCGAGACCAGTTCAGCTAAAGAAACCAAAGCTCCAAAGAGTTTCGAAACCCTCTTCCTTCTCTTCACCACAGAGGGTAAATTATAAACCTTGTAAACCCCATAACCAGAGACTCCACATATAGTTAACAAAATAACCCATTTTTTCTTCAAACGTGAATAAGTCAATGCCTTGTTCACCAATTGAATATCCATCGACCCAATATAAACACCCTAGAGCTACACTAATTTGAACCCCGGGGCTTTTCAAATAAGAACAAAAATAGAAGATTAACCTCAGAAAAGAAAATTTGAAAGCAGATACAGATAAAGAGGGTAGTAATGGTTAAAAGAGAGTGCCTTTTTTGTTTTAATTTAGTGTTGAATTTCGATAATTCCTATTGGATTTGCAGAAGAATGGTGAGAAACGAACCTGGATCAGAAAGGAAGAAAATATTAAATGGAGGAAGACGACAACGAGATTGAGTTTTTTATTTTTTTCTCTCTCTCGCAAGTTATTGCAGGTCCAGAGAAACTGTTTCTGCTTCTTTGTGGGCTTTCTTTTTTCCAGGAAGGCTGGGTTCCTGCTTCTTTGTGGGCTTTCTTTTTTCCAGGAAGGCTGGGTTCCTGCTTTATTTATTAAACGAAGCTGCATCACGCAATTGCGTTTATTATTTAATTTATTATTATATCATTTAACAACCAAAATTCTTTCTTCCTTTCTTGGTCAAAGTTTTCACCCTACAACTATGTTTAATTTAACATAATCTCATTTTTGTAATAACTTTAAATTGATGATTCAAGGTGAATTAAAAATATGATTTCATCCATGTTTTTAATGCGCTGCATGATTTTTTGAATTGGTATGTGATGGTGTTATAAGTATGTGTTGCATCAATGAAGGTGTTAGTAACACTTAGAATGGATATATAAAATAAAAATAGCATGATAATATATATATTTTCACATGAATTTACAATAGTGATTGGTGTATTTTAAAATATTATTTTTGCATATAATCATGTATCTATTGGTTAATTGATCCATTTGAAACTCTTTAAATATATATCGGTATGTTATATGATTAAAGTATATTTTACATGTTTATTGTGAAAAGAAAATTATGTGTTAAAGACATAAGGTGAACATGATGCATTAGCATCGTTGTATTGGAATCTATAGTCATACCAAACTCTATGAGTTATACTGAGATGCAACAAGGAAATTTGAGTATCCATTATTGATTATGTTTCATATGATTCAAGAGAATCGATATATCAAAGAATGAATTCACAATTAATGTAAGAAAGTTACATGTTGTATACTATTTTTATGGGCATGATTTACAAAGATTGAGAACCCAATTTATAAGTTAAAATGCATGATTTATAAGTTCAAAATCATTATCTATAAGCTTTATGTTACATGATTTACGTCTGTTTTGAAAGTGTTGAAATGCATGTGCATGTAGCATGTCCCTATATAACATATGTAGTAGTGTTCACTTAGTGATAGTGATGATCGTTCACTAAGTTGATTCGAATTTACACTCATTTTTCTTACCATATGTAAAGGCCATAAAGCTAACTAGGGAGTGGAAGAAAAGAAACGTGAAGACAAATTTCCAAGGCACTTGTTAAATAAATGCCTAAATAGTTTGCACGTGATGTTGCACTAACGTGGGATTCTTTGCTTGGGATTTAGATATTTTCCTATTGTTTTGGAGTTTCTAATTTGTTCATTGAATAATTCTTGGATGGAAATTAATGTTTGGATAGGTTGCAAGTTTAATTTTAGTGATGCATGATGTTATTTGCTTGTAATAGGTGCAACTATGCTAATTTGTTGTATGTTATGTCTTATGTCTTGCTTTGTTAAGTTTTGACAACTCAATTGGTATGTGAATGATATGCTAAGCATTCTAGAATAGATATATGACCTTAATTGCTTAAAGTGGCTATAAAAAAGTCTAAAATGAACTTTAAAATTAATTATGTATTTTTTATTCTCAGAGTATGATTGATTGTTATTTAAGTGGTATGAAGCATGAATTGATTGAGAATTTACATATTTTTTATGTTTCATGTATGATCATTGAATATATAAATGATTTAGAGTTGGATTGTTGGATCAATTATGCATTATCATTCCCAAACGGCTAGAAATCATTCCAACGGCTAGAAACGGCCACAACCTCATTCCAACTTATAAATACAAGTTCAAGACACTTGAAGAAGAGTTAGAACACCTATCCAAACATTCAAACACAATAGAATAGCTTTTCACTCTTTATTTTTATTCTCCTGTAAATATTAGTGTTTAGTGAGCTTTATTTTGTAAACACCTTACCTTTAAGAGGTTTTATCATTTACTTCTTTTTACCTTTTGTAAAGGGGATTGATTATAGTTTAGCCAAGTGAAAAACTAGGGAGTGTAAAGGTTATCTCTTTATCCTGTAAAAGGAAATAACAAATTAGTGAATTTGTTAGAAAATCCTTAGTGAATTTGTTAGAAAATCCTTAGTAAGGAGCTAAGGTAGTGAGGTAGACTTAGTTGAGAAGTCGAACCACTATAAACCGCTGTGCAAAATTGTCTATCGTTTCTTTCTCCTTACTCCCTAAACACAATTTGCCAATTCAACCCTCTCGGCACTTTTTCGATTGTCCAAATTGAGCTTCAACAATCCCAACAACTCTTTTCAAAAGATGCTCTAGAGACTCCTCACTTCACATATTTTCCTTATCCAAACCTACGCATGAAAACCATCACACGCTAAGTAAAATTTAGTGAGGCAGTAATAATTCAAGGTGAGATAGAATATAAAATATCATAAATTCATCAAAACAGTAAAATATAATTCAAATAAAATCATTGAACTTTTAAACAGATTTATTCAAGTCTTTTTCCTCATAAAAAACCTGAAAATCATCACATCATGATTTTATCAAAATCATAGTAAACATTATCAAACATAATAATCATTTCATATTTTTTCCATTCAGACACATCTCATAACTTTCATATTTCATTTTCCTAGACCAATGAATATTTAAGAGAATGTAAGATACATGTGTCAGAGATATGTGTGCACTAAGCACCAACGGTGTTATCATCATAACCAGAATATGCACTCCAAGTGTAATCATATCATTTGCACCAATGGTTCAATACATAATGTACTCAAATGTACTAGATCGAAATCGAAATTACTCAAATTCATGGCATATCAAGTGTACCTACAACTCTCAATACAACATACAATGGACTTTCAGAACATAACATATTCATTAAATAATCAACATTTCCAAATCAAAATCATTTTCAGTTCATCATCATAAAAAGCATAACTTGAGCATTTCATACCCTAAAATCATTCATTAAACCTTTATATAAGCATTATAGAAATATTCCATAATTAAAATAAAATTATATTTTAAAAATAATATTGAGGTTGACTTATCGTAAGTCTTCCTCAATCAGAATAATTAAATAAATAAACTACACTCACATCTACTTCACTACCAAACCTTTTCTATGATATCCTTTTACTCAGGTGCTTTGCCATTCGCTTTTGAATCACTAGAATCGCAAGATTTGTCATAGTTTGAACGAAAATCACATACATAACACCATATTCAAACTATATGTTAGTATTATACTAATATAATCTAAAATTCAATAGTATAAAATTCTATAAAATAAAATCGATACTTAATCGATATAAATCAAATCACTATTCCATATTATCTTCAACCTTTCTAAAGTAGCCATTCAATTCCATAAATATACACTTCCATCATCCATCCTCCGACTTTCACAAACTTTACATTTAAGTCACTATTTATGAATTCTTTTTAGAATTCACAATAATTTTTCCATTTAACTTAAAATGGACCTTCATCATTTTCATTTATTTTAATTCAAGTACTAAAATTTCCAGCATTGTAGTATCAATTCAATCTCTAAAGCATGTAGAATACATATAATATCAATTCTAGACTATAGGAAACTTTTCAACATTTTCCCCATAATTTTCCTTCAATGGTCGAATGCCTTAAATCCCTAGGGTAAACTTTTCATTCAACTTCAAGCATGAATTCAACCTCCTTACATCAAATTCATGATATTCCAATCATCACAACATCAAATTCAATCAAAATTCAATCAACCTTTATAAACCCTAGCATGGTCGAATACTATACAAACTTATACACCTTATTTTAATCATCATTCATGCTTTAGAATTAATCTACAACATCAATAACATAAAAATTATCCATCAACTCTTCAAAATCAAATATGTTCTTCAACCACCCAATTCATGAAACTCAACATCTAAGCATGATTTCCATGAAATTTTTATACCAAATGATAGAGAATTTGAATATGGTTAATTCTCTATATAATAGCATAATCCAAAAATCAACCACGTAGCTTCAAAAATCAAAACAAAATTCTTACCTTGGGTGGCTATGGAGTTTCGGCCAAAGAGGAAGATGAGCTAAAAATTTCTTGAATTTTCTATATTTTTTTCATCTACTACACATGACTTTTATCTAATTTAATTGAACATAAAAATTCAATTAATGAGGAATCCCAAATTTGCCATTAATGAATCATGATAATTACCATTTCCATTGAAATATCTTCCATTAAAATATTTCTTAGTAAAGATGAATCAAATTGAAGTTGACTTTCTACTTTAGCCATGTATTTTTTTTAAATTGCAATTTAGTCACTAAATTTCCCCAATTTCGGCTAAATAAGGAAAATTATCTTTAATTCCAATGATCCATACTAAATTTTACTGTTCTAAAATATGGAAATAATTTTCCAACCTTTATCTAGCATCCTTCAAATTTTTATAAACTTTCAGTTTGATCAAATTATCCTATTTCTTATCAGATTTTGTTGTTTTATAGCTTTTAATACAAATCCCAAATCAAAATTATGATTCCCACAAAAACATTAATTTCATAACAAACTATTAATTTACGAGCCAAAATATATAATTATTTATAATTATAATTTCGGTCCTTGAACTTTTCAAAGTTTATACTTTGGCCACTAAACATTTAAAACTTACATTTTAATTACTAACCAAAATTTGGGGTATTAAAATTCTCTCCCTTAAAGAAAATTTGTCCTCGAAATTTCCCTACGTATTTACATATTGAAGTAAAAAGATGAGGAAACTGTTTTTTTTTCATACATTTCTCTCGTTCCCAAGTCGCTTCCTCAACTTTATGATTCCCCCAATGAACTTTATAAGTAGAATCATCTTATAAGTGGAATCATCTCTTTTCTCTTCAGATCTGAATAAGATTTCTATCAATCAACAATTTTCTTGAGATTGTCTTGAATAACCTTTACTTTGTCCTCCACTTCTTTGATCAGATACGAACCAATTATATCTCGATCCTTCAACTCGTACCAGTTCAATGGCATCCGACATTTTATTCCATAAAGTGCTTCAAAAAGAGCCATTCTAATACTCGACTGATAATTGTTATTA